AAAATGTTCCTGATATCTATCAATTAATTAAAGATCAAAATATAAAAGGATATGAGTCTTTAACGATTAAGCAGGTGTATTACTAGTGGTCAAAAATAGTACAGGCAGAATATCGATCTTCTGATGATGAGCTCGCTTTTGTAAGATTATTTCTTCAAAACTAAAAACAGGAACTTCTTTTTTTTAAAGAATATGCATTTGCTTTTGTAACTGCATTTCTTGATATTTTGCTATTAGGAAATTTAATAGAATTTATGGTAGACGTGAGGTATAATACCAATAAGAGTAAATATGAATTATATAGAGCCATGGTGATTATTGATGGTACAGGGTTTCCCATCTCTTATTTGTTTATATCATCTGGTAGAAATCGCAATATTACAAGAATTCTTATAACATGGTTTTCAATATTGAAGGCAAAAGGATTGGTTAATGTCGGCATATTTTATACAGATAAAAACATATTACAAATTAATGCAGCAAAGGCTACTTGGACTAACGTAAAGATACAGTTATGTTTGTAGCACATTAAGCATGCAATAAAACAAAAACTGTCATCACATGCAAAAATGCAAATAGTAAGGTATAATTCGATCGAAGTACATGAACAATGTCCTATAATAGATTCTTCATGACAACCAATTATATTTAATAAAATAAACCAAACAAATGTGGTTAATTCAATTCAACTCACTAATAAAGAAATTCATACGCAAATAAAACATCTTATAACAAAGTATTTTAATCGTCATATGCTTATACCTAAAGAAGACAAGATATTTATAAATGATAAAGATGTAATCTGGATTGAATGTGTTACAGAAATGTATACATATTGTCATAATAATAATTTAATCATGATATGGGCATATCTCTGGTGCGAATGGTATTCTCGAAAGCAGTGGTGTTTTTGGGCACAATTATCATTTGACGATATTGGCATTTTATACACTACGATGGTGATTGAATCACATTAGAGATTTCTAAAAAGAAATTACCTTTATAAGTTTAATCATCCCCATTTGGATCTGCTATACTTCATTATTATAAAAAAGATATGTATTTCTATATGTACTAATTTATATTTTGAATTAATTATTTTTTTTATATATTCTAATTTAGGCTGTCGCTCATCAAATTGATACATTTAAATTACTATGCCATGGACGTCAACTTACTTTATAGCAAAAGAATTCCAAAAAGAATAGAATTTATTAGCATCACGATCTTGTAACTTTGAACAGTATCTAACAAATCATGAATGCTAGTTTTGTTCATGTTCTTACTTTGCAATAAGCAGATTTTTTTTATGTAAACATCTAGTAGTTCCAATTGGTTCGAAACTGCATTTATTTTTTTATAATGTATTATTATATACTTTTTTTCTTTAAAAAAATAAAAAATAAATAAATAAATAAACTTTAACTTATTTAAATATTCAGATCCGTCACAATTCAACATATCCTCTAATCTCAGTATCACCAAATAATCCTTGGAATGAAATAAGAGCATATTGTAATCTTGAAAAAAATAACTAT